ATCACTTCTCCACTCCAACACCACTTCACCACCCGACTACCCCATCACTTCATTACTCCATCTCACCACCACTCCACTATCTCACCATTTCTCCACCACCACTACTACACCACCACCACTCCACCACCACCACCACTCCACCACTACCACTCCACCACCACCACACCACCACCACTACACCACCACCACTACACCACCACCACTCCACCATCACTCCACCACCACCACCACCACCACCACCACCCACCACCACCACCCACCACCACCACCACCACTACCACCACTACACACTCCACCACCTACCACTCCCACCTCCACCACCATCACTACACCACCATTACCACTTCACTACACCACACCACCACTTCACCACCATCACTCCACCACCACCACTCCACCACCCACTCACCATCCCACTCCTCCACCACCACTCACCACCACTACACCACCACCCACCACCATCTCCACCATACACCCACCGCCACCACTCTACCATCTCCACCACCCGCTCCACCACCATCACTCCACCACTACCACCACTACCACTCTACCATCACTCCACCACTACTCCACTCCACCACCACTCCACCATCACTCCACCACTACCACTCACACCACCATCACTCCACCACTACCACTCCACCACCACCACCACCACCCACCCACTACCACCACTCCACCACCACTCCACCACTACCACCACTCGCCACCACTCTACCATCACTCCACCACTACTCCACCGCTCCACCACCATCACTCACCACACCACTCCACCACTACCACTCTACCATCACTCACCACTACTCCACCACCACCCACCACCCACCCACCATCACTCCACCACCCACCACCACTACCACTCTACCATCACTCCACCACTACTCCACCACCACTCCACCACCCCACCACCACTCCCCACCACTTCACCACTCCACCATCCTCCACCACTACCACCCTCCACCACCCACCATCACTCACCACCACCACCACTCCACCATCCTCCACCACTTCACTCCACCATCACTCCACCACACTCCACCACCACTCCACCACCATCCACCATCACTCCACCACTACCACTCCACCACTTCACCCTCCACCATCACTCCACCACTACTCCACCACCACTCCACCATCACTCCACCACCATCACTCCACCACCATCACTCCACGTGAAAACTTGACCTTCACTTACTCCTTTTATCGTGTTTTTTCATCTCTAAGTAATGTTCTATTTTTACGATGATTTGTTATCTCTTCAAAATGCTTAGTGCTCATGCTAGTCGGTCCTCAAGTGTGACTCATGGATGGTCCTCAAGTGTGACTCATGGATGGTCCTTACGTGTGACTCATGGATGGTCCTCAAGTGTGACTCATGGATGGTCCTCAAGTGTGACTCATGGATGGTCCTTAAGTGTGACTCATGGATGGTCCTTAAGTGTGACTCATGGATGGTCCTCAAGTGTGACTCATGAATGGTCCTTAAAGTGTGACTCATGGATGGTCCTCAAGTGTGACTCATGAATGGTCCTTAAGTGTGACTCATGGATGGTCCTCAAGTGTGACTCATGAATGGTCCTTAAAGGTGTGACTCATGGATGGTCCTCCTCAAGTGTGACTCATGGATGGTCCTCAAGTGTGACTCATGGATGGTCCTTAAGTGTGACTCATGGATGGTCCTTAAGTGTGACTCATGGATGGTCCTCAAGTGTGACTCATGGATGGTCCTCAAGTGTGACTCATGGATGGTCCTCAAGTGTGACTCATGGATGGTCCTCAAGTGTGACTCATGGATGATTAGGGATAAGTTATGTTTAGCGGAAGAGTAACTTGTTTTTTTTAGGTGAGTGAGGGAGTGGGTGAGTCAACTAGGCAGTGAGTCAGTTGTATAGTGTCTATACTTCACACACACACGCACACACGCACACACACACACACACACACACACACACACAGTGATAAATAAAAAACTGTGTAGGTCAGGTTACATTATTATTATTATGAAAATCACCTTTACAGAGTGGTGTGTTAAAGGTCATCCCACGAGCCTAAAATATCTTGGGGTCTTATTTCTAAAACATAATTATCGTGAAATAATTTAGGCAGAAATGAAACTGAATGTAGGTGATGTTTAGTAAATTATGTGTGTATTTATTACTGATTTACTGTACTTACATTGTTGACTATAATTATACTGTACTGAGAACTAAATACATGGGGTGTGTGTGAAGGAACGTATACTGTATCTCCATCTATGTATTTACTGTATTACGCTTCTATTTACATATACACCTTTATTTTGTATCTCAGTTACATTATAATATTCGTCTTACTCTTCCTAAAGGACATAGTGCCTGGCCTACACACTGGAGCACCTATCATGTTGCTCTCTGCTGAAACCTACTGTACAGCTCGGTGCCACGAAATGTAAACAACTCGTCCTCTTATGGCGATGTTCATACATAAGAACATAAGAAAATAAGGAGTCTGCAATAGGCCGGTTGGCCTGTGCATGGCAGCTCCTGTCGAGAGTTATTACCACTCTCTATCATCCATGAATCTATCTAGCCTCCTTTTGAAACTTTCCAGAGTTCCCGCACTTACTACAAAGTTGCTAAGCTTGTTCCACTCGTCTACCACCCTATTTGTGAACCAGTTTCTTCCTATCTCCCTACACTGGTAAACTCGTCATATGGAGAGTAAATGCTATATACCCTTAGTGTAGCGGGGTAAATAGGGAGCTCTAAGTGAAGGCGAGAGAGGAAAAATGGTTTAAATTACTGTAAATAGGGGTCATTGAGAAGGAGGGGGGTGCAGGCAACGTGTTGACATTGTTGCATCACCCAGCATTATGGAGGGCGGTGCTGAAGTAACCCCCTGGGGCGTGGTGGTGGTGGTCAGGTTGCTGCTCAGTACATGTACACCCACACCATCACCACCATCGTCATTCATACAACAGGACAGGAAAATCTTGACGAAAAAGACAACATTTCTTATTTCTCTGGTGCCAGTTGCTGATGGGCTAAACACTATTACCTGGCCATCTTAATTGTCATGAGTTCGGTTTTATATACATATCAATAACGTAGAGTTGAAATATAATTCTAGTCTTGTTAGTGCAGGTATATACGAAACTGCAGATTTCAATAGATTTTAATTTTGAAGGTCCCTCTCCTAAATCTAAAATATGCATAAGTAGTTATATGAATAAGTAAAATATATAGAGTACAGTACATTGTATTTATATAGTTTTATTTTTTCAGCTCTCACTTCGCCATGACCTCCTCACAGCTACCAAGATGTAGACACATAGTGATCCTCCGCCACCCTCCCCCCCACCACAACTAGTGCTTGGAAATCGGAACGACAATATTAAGGTTTGTGTTTATATTCTCGTGCTGTTTACAGTTGTCAGCAGTCACCAGTTCAATCTCACATTGGGGGGGGGGGATATAGTTTTATCTGTGCGCACCTTCTTGTCGACGACACCACTTCACTCTTACTTCAGGTTTCCTCAACACAATGTTAACCCGCTGTAGTTCCTCACACAATATCTAACAAACCTGCACTCGTGGGCGGCCGGTGAAGAGTGTTACCTCACCTCTCACGTTGCTCACACAGGGGCTTTATCCTTGTTGTTTAGAGACATCCAAGGCTGCTGTATAAATAACCTAATCAACATCACAGCAGATAATATGATATGTTTTTTCAAGGGATTCCCTGCTCTTACCCGCCCCTTCACTCTGGTGTGTCGGGTCTCCAACCTATTGTATGTATGTTGTAATGTTTTTCACAAGATTTACAGGTACGTTGTTCCGTCTAATATTTCCCGACGTAGGCATGGGGATAATGACGCAACTGGGAATGGGGGGGAGGGAGGGGTGAGAACTGCGCCAGACTGTTTTAATTTGCTCTGTGGCGGCCTCCGTGTCGACCTTGGTACTAGTCCGCGACGCATCATCAACACTGTACACTCATGGTGCTTGACATGCTCTACAACGACGATAGAAACTTTGGAAACACGAAATTATTAATCTTATATATTTTAGTAACGTGTCTACTGAACAGGGATATAGTAAATGAATAAACCTTCTCCTAAGGCCCAAGTTGTTCTATACAAGATTACAGACGGAGATAATATTCGTAAACAATTTCAATGACAATGATGATATAGAAGATAAAATTCACATATTAGGAGAAAAGTCTATGATGTGACCCTGATGTGTGTATGTGTGGTGATGGAACCAGGATAGGTGGAGGAGGTCCCTTCTGTGTTGGTGGAGTGAATGAAGGATTACTACACACACACACACACGTACGTACTAGACTGTTGGAAAGGTGTTTGGGTCACCTGAAGATTTACACACCTCAGCTTATTTCACATGATGATTAAACACACTAACGCTACCTGGGTGGTTAGGTTAAGTTAGGTGGTTTAAATCTTCAGGTGAAATAGGCTAGGGTGTCTAACCTTCACGTGATCCGAGTGGATTAATGAAAGTGGATGTTTTAAGTGGGAGGGTAGGTACAGTAGCAGGAGGAAAACTGTAGAGCCGCAAGAGTGGAGGGGGAGGGTGGCCGGTGCGCATTGTGTAAGAGAGCCTCATTATCACCTGAGGAGGACGTGGTGTGGCGCCGCTCAGTGAGGATTAGATTCAATCAGGATGAAGTAAGAGGGAAGTTGTGGTACTGTCAAGTCGCTGGTTTAAGGGAAGTGACAGATGTGTGTAGAGGATAGTGACAGCCAGGTGTGTGAACTTTTAATTGGAGCACAGTATAATATGTTGGAGGGAGGCCAAGAGAAGGGGGGAGGGTCAGGATTCTAGGAATGTGTCGTGCTTGTGTTGTGTGTACAGTATGTGCTAATGTAGGACCTTCCCACCTTATATGAAGCCTTGTACAATATATAACTGTATGGTGTGAAGCCTGACTGTACAGTCCTCGAGTGAGAACTATTTAGTCTTGGACTTAAAGTTGGCGGTGATGTAAGTAGTACTCACGCCGGGGTTTGGGGGGGCTTTGAAGGCGACGCTGACAGAAGGTTCCGGGGAGTTGGAGCCGTTGCTGTCGTCCAGGGAGCGTCCGTAGCCAGACTCCCGCGTCGTACTGTGGGAGTCTGTCCGTCGGCCACCAGAAATGTTCACACCAACGGCGTCCACTTCGTCTACTGATGGACCATCTCCGAGGTCCACGTCGGTGAAGAAACCCGGGTTGTTCCAGTGACCACTGTCGGTGTGAGGCTCGTTGGTGACGGGGTCGTGGAACTGTAACACTGGACGCCATGATGCCGCGCCCTTCTCCAAGCTGTTGGTGAAGGAGTCATTTTCGAAACCTGGATTTCTGAGGCCCAGGTCACCATCGATTACATTCTCCTCTAAGACGAGGTTGGATGAAGCGATGGAGATGTTGGAGTTGTTAGAAGACGCGGCGAGAGGCTGGTCGTCGTCTCCTGAGGTGCAGGGGGCAGTGATGGCGTCCTTGACGGCACACACAGCCCGCCAGGTGTACTCACAGATGCAGGTCATGGCGTAGGGGCGCTCAGTGTGTGGAGACCGCGGGTCATCTGCAGCTGAAGGTGGCAGCCATTACGTGAACACTCAAGTATTGTTATTCTCTTGTTTCAAGTAATAATGTCCCCAACACACTATAAACAACAGTCTATTACGTATATTGTAGTTCAACACGAAAACAATTAGTTCCAGGGGAAGTTTTTATAAGAGTCCTGAGTGTGTTACCCCTGTGACCGTCTATTCATTAAGGTGCGGCAGGAGAGCGTTGAGCAGCGGACGGGGTCGGCCCAGCTTGGCACACGACTGGTAGCGATCACCAATACAGTGGCAGGGAAAGCCCGCACTGGCGAAGATAAGGGGTATCAGCAGAGTGCGGTCAGCGCCACCACCACCATCACCACCACTCACGCTACACTGTAAACAAAACACCACAACAACTGATCAAAACATTTTAGGTTTCATGGTAAAGTTTTCATATAGGTTAAAACTGTACTAACTGTCTGGTCTCACCTCCAACTGGCCTCTATCATAAACATGTAATATATCTGCTTTATATATTGTTTACATTAACGTATTATGAACCTTAATGGAAGAATAATATTAATTAGTAGTAACATAGGTAAGCGAGGTAACCAGTGCCACCTCTGATGTCATTGTTTTGTGACGTCACAGTGCCAGGCAGTGACAGGGGGGGGTCGGGTTACAGGAGTGGAGGCCGCGTTACCTTACCCTGGCCCTCACCACCTGCCACAACACAAGGTTCCGCCACTCCTGCAACACACTAATCAACACTCTTGCAACACACATACTGATTAACATTCCTGCAACACCGATCAACATTCATGCAACACTGATCAACACTTCTGCAACACACTCACTGATCAACACCTGCAACACTGATCAATACTCATGTAACACTAATCAATACTACTGCAACACACTGATCAATACTCATGCAACACTGATCAACACCTGCAACACACTCACTGATCAACACTCATGCAACACTGATCAACACCTGCAACACAAGCTTACTACAGATTGAATTAACCTTTTGAATGCTTCTTGTAATTGGAATAAGCTTTCATGTTTTCTGTAGAACTGAAGGCAACTGAACGAGAGAACAATCGGTTGTGTTCAGAACAGCGGAAGGACAGGAAATGAACTTGTTTTGTGTTGTGTTTTCCAGTGGGGGTTTTTTGTGACAATTTCCCTGTGATTTTTCTACCTGACTTTTCATTCACAAGGTCATAAGAAAAACGTCAAAGCAAAATAGTCACATAATATAACCTAACCTACCTGGTGTGCTGGTGTTGGATGGCCTGTCACTATACGACCTCTCTCAAATGACGCAGTCTGGTGGTGTTATGGCTGATGCTGTGTGACGGCGTGAGGCCACAGGTGACGGGGTTACAAGGCACTGGGTGAGAGGGCCAATAACAAGGTGGCAGAGGAAGAAGAACGGTCATAGACGTACTCTTATGTGGCACCCGAGTTGCTTACACCACCACA